GAGAAGCGGTGCGTCGGTGCACGCCCGGGATCCGAACCCGGGCCGCCAGCAGCGGAGCGCGTGCGCTTAACCGCTAAGCCACCGGGCCGGCCCCTAATCTCCTTTAATATAGAACTGTGGCTCAACTTTTCTTTGTCTTTTGTTACATTGATATTTTTAAGTAATTCAGGTCCTCTATTTTATAAAGACAAAATGTACCTCATTTTGGGTTTGTGTGAAGTTTCCTCATGCTTAGATTCAGGTTACATATCCCTGATCAGCATTCTAAATAAGTGACGTGTCCTGCTCAGGGTATCACATCTGGAGACGCACAACGTCCATCTTGCCCTCATTGGTGGTAGTAATTTTGATTGCCCAGTCAAGGTGGTGTCCAGTTTCTCCTCTGATGTGGCCTTTTTGAAATTTATTTATCCTGTTTCCAAGCATGATGCCCTAGTACTTTAGGCAAATTAAGATGCAAGAAATAAAATAATCTAACTTTTTTACTGTAATTGGCTTTCCTACCATGTGTGTTTCTTGTCCCCATTGGTATTGGAGGAACAGCATTTCTCATGATTACACCATCGTGTCTCCAGGAGTCTTCTCCGTCATAAGGTCTCACCCTGTTCCGAGGTAGGTCAGGCCCATAGCATGGAGTGGAGCAAAGTGATGTCTGCTCTTGGATTCTTTCAGAACACGTATGACCGCTGCCCCATGGAGCTGGTCCGCTGTATCCGCCACATCTTATACAATGAACAGAGGCTGGTCCGAGAAGCCAACAATGTGAGTGTCTGATAGGTATGGGGGGAGGAGTTGGGAAGTCCTTTGTTGCCCACCTCTCTCTGGACCCACCTTTGTCAAGGTGACTCAGTGTGCGTCTGTTGGTGTTTCTATAAACAGAGCATTGTCCCAAGGGGCACAAAAGAAGTAGAAGACTAGTCTCTGATCTTAACTGATTTATAACCTTGAAGAGATTGCAGCCACAAAACAATGTGAACAAGTGCAAAACAATTGAACTCCAACTGAATAATTTTTGAGTCAGGGTGTGCTTATATTCCGGTGAGATTAGTTAGGAAGGACTTCTGCTTAGCTCCCTCCCAGCCAGGTGTTGAAGGAATAGATCAGACCAAATCACTTAAATGGCTGGATCCACAAAGGCCTTGTGGATGCCGCCCTTGTAACTTCATTTTGGGGCTTCCAGGACACCGCCTGTGAGAGGTTTGGCCTCCTCTCTCTTCCCTCAGTCACAAGAAGGTCTTGAGTGAGGACATAACGATGTATGTTCACACAGCCTTGTTCCCCACTGTGTCCCCAACACCTGACACAGTCTGTGGTATTGGGTCAGTGAATGAATGTGAAATGAGGGGTCATCATCATTAGTAGGAAAACCCAGGTAACTCCTGGGACGTGCTGAGTTCTAGTTTCTCCAAAGAGAATTTAGGATACCTGGTGGAGGGCAGATCTGCATTAGAAGTTTCTACTGTGCTTTATGAAGGTGCCATAGTCTGTCAGGTCACTTGTTTCTCCTCTTGTCCCACTCTACCCCAGTTCTCACAAATGATGTTTGCAATTCCTCTGACTCAAAATTTAGCTTTTGGGGGTCTCAGTCCAGTTTTAGGTGCTGGCGTTGGCTTTTCCTTGGGATTAAGGCCTGACGCTTTCTCCCATCCTCACTGCCCAGCTCACCACTGCCTGCGCTCTCCCCTGATCTGTCTCCAGGGTACTTCTCCAGCTGGAAGTCTTGCTGATGCCATGTCCCAGAAACACCTTCAGATCAACCAGACATTTGAGGAGCTGCGACTGGTCACACAGGACACAGAGAATGAACTGAAGAAGCTGCAACAGACTCAAGAATATTTCATCATCCAATATCAAGAGAGCCTGAGGATCCAGGGTGAGGCCCTGCAGCGTGGGCAGTGTGTGTCTTGAGGATGGGAGTGGGGACTAGAAAGCTCAGGTCCGATGGGAAGAGAACCAGTTTTCTCTTCAGAAGCATTTACCTTTCTCTGGAGTAGCAGGGAATCACTTGCATTGAAAACAGTGCTGGGAGGGTGATTAAGGGGAGAAGACAAGTGATTGCCCTTGGAGAGTGTGGGGTCTCATTCAGGGTGCTGCACCCAGGTTGCTCCTGGTCTGCGGGGGAGGACATTTCCTCTTGTGGGAAGGAGCAAACAGTCTAAGTAAACAGTACCAGACGAGACTTTTGTATATAGTAGGCATTTTCTAAATGCTGCTTTACTGAAATGTTAAACTCTCTAAGCAGGGACAGTGCAAGGGCTAAGGGGCTGTGTTTGTGGTGACAAACTTTTAATGCTGTTCTGTGTGGTTATTCAGAGAGGCTGTCCTGGGGCAGAGCACACTAGTGCACCTCGGTCCTTCTGAGCAAAGGCTCCCCTCCCTGGTGGAAATCCTGCTTGGTACTTGGGTACAGAGAACTTCAGAGTCAGTCTTGAGGCTCTGGAGCCCCACCAGCGCCCCCTATTGCCCTTGTAGGAAGTTGACAGTGTGATGTCCACACCCCTCCCTCCACGCCCAGCTCAGAATCTCAGAGGAGCCTTTGCTGCACAACCAGCCACACGCACACTCACATACACATGCCATGTGCTCCTCTGATACCATGCATGTGGGCTTGATCTTAGGACTATATTGATATTATTTATTAACTCTTTCTTCCCCACTAGAACATAAATTCTTTAAGAAGGGACTGTGTCTTTTATCTCTGTACTCTGAGAACAGCACGTTGCCTGATTCATAGTAGATGTTGAGTAAATCTTGGTGGGATGATTCTAGCATGTCTTCCTCCCATCTGAATCCATCCCAGACTGACCCCAGAGAAGGGATGGCCCTTTTCCTAGGTTAGGGAATAGGAGATTTCAGGCTGTTAGTTCTACCCAAGGCCTTTGACTGGTTGACAGTACTTCTGATCCCATTCTTGGGTTTTCTCTTTCCTATTTCTGGGTTTGGGTTTGGATTCTGGTTTGGGTTTGTCCCCGTTATGCAGTGTCAGTGCAGTCTCATTTATCAAGGTCACCCATCAGAAACACAGACTATTGATCTGTTTGTGCAAGGAAAGGCTCAGCTGCCTCCAGTGGAGCAGACAATTGCCTCACGTCTCCTGGCATCCTTCCCAGAAGCTTCTGCAAATTGCCAGGAGAGACTAAGTGGGTCACTTGTATGGGGAGGCTGGGCCCAGGTGTTGGCTCACCCCCACCTCCCTGTGGGTGGCAGGGTTCCCGAGGTGGCCGTCCAGATTACTCTGCTATGTTCTGTGCCTGGACACTACTCTTCCTGCTCAGTCCCCTGCAGTACAACTGGAACCATATTTCTCAGTTCTCTTCTAGTTCTGGGCTTTTCCTGGCGGTCTAGAGTTGCTTTAGTCTATCCCAGCTTGTGAGTCCATGGCACAGGGCCTAGGTCAGTGTGACACGGCCCTGAGAGGCCTGCCAGGAACTTGATTGACCAAGACGTGATGACGCTCCCATTTTCTTGACTCAGCCTGAGTAAGGACACTGGGATGTTCAAAAAGGCTACAGGCAGAGGGTGGTAATCCCAGCATTTAGGACAGTGGTTACCTTTGGAGGGAGGGATGGATTTGCAAGCAGGACAGGGTGTACAGGTGGCTTTAACTGTGGAAATGTTCGCTTTCTTAAGTTGGGTTATTGATACACAGGTGTCCTTGTATCATTCTTTCTACTTTCCCTGTGTCTTAAGTTTTTCATAACAGACTTTTTGAAAAAGCTAATGAGGCCTCACTGACTCCCTGTTCCTGCCATTGATGAGATTCCTGTCAGCTGGTGTGGAGAGAAGCTGCCTCCCTTTCCTGAGAGAATCTTGCTGCTTTTGTGTCCCCAGTGGTCCCTGGACACACACTCTCTCTCCCCTCTCTCTCTCCTGGTTAGTCTGGCTGAACTCGAGGTGACCCGACCTGGACAAACATGTTGGGCACCTTCCAGCACCTGGAGAGCCTCCTTCCCCGAGGAGGGGCTGCCGTGCTCCGGGAAGTGGGACAGAGCAGCGGAGTGGGGCTGTCCCCGCTGAGGCTTTGCTGTGTGAGGTTGAGGCGGAGCAGCTGCTCATCTCCGTCACCCTCTAATCCCGTGCTGTAACCCGTTAACCAAGGACTGACTCTCACCCAGAGCTGCGTGTGCCGGGCAGCTTCTTGAGCATTTTCTGTGTCATCACTTATTTACTCCTCACAGCAGCCCACTGAGGCAGGTGCCATGATTCTCCTGTTTTACACATGGGGAAACTGAGGCACAGGAGAGTGAAGTGATTTGCCCAAGTTCACCCAGCCAGGAAACGGCGAGGGCACCCTTGAGACCAGGCAGTGTGGCTCCAGTCCAGACCCCAGTGTGGTGTGAGGAGGGCTGGGCAGCCAGCTGTGTGGGCTGGAGTGAAGGCCACACGGCAGGGTTCTCCTCAGCTGTAGCCCCAAGCGTCTGTCTCCCCACTCCCTGGAGGGGAGCTCAGAGTCGGGAGGCCAGGGAGGGGAGCCCACTCATCTCTGGGCGCCCTTTGCTGCTAGAACCCCAACTTGCCACTGGTCAGATGTGTCCCCTTGAGGGTCTGGTCTCCAGAACAGGGGAGTGTGGTTCCTCTGGGCTTCCTGCTGGGCGCTGGGAGATCGTGGTCGTGGTGTCCTGTCCCCTCCGCCAGCTCAGTTTGCGCAGCTGGCCCAGCTGAATCCCCAGGAGCGTCTGAGCCGGGAGACGGCCCTCCAGCAGAAGCAGGTGTCCCTGGAGGCCTGGCTGCAGCGCGAGGCCCAGACGCTGCAGCAGTACCGAGTGGTGAGTGGGCTCTGCGTCCCTCTCCTCCCGGGCGTGGAGGGCCGTGTCCCGAGCTGTCCAGGGGGCCGGAGAGGGATAGAGCCAGGAGGAGAGCAGGACCCAGGAGATCAGGAGGCCAGATGCTCCTTTCCCGTGGGGGCACGTGAGGCAGAGCAGGTCAGGGAAGGGGAAGGCCCGTGCCTGGGGCCTGGTCCCTGGTCCCGGGCCCGCCTCCTGAGTGAGGGTCTGCAGGGTTGTTCCCTGGGAGCCTGGAAGGGCCTGCTCTCCCCACGTCCCTTCAGGAGCTGGCCGAGAAGCACCAGAAGACCCTGCAGCTGCTGCGGAAGCAGCAGACCATCATTCTGGATGACGAACTGATCCAGTGGAAGCGGCGGCAGCAGCTGGCCGGGAATGGAGGCCCCCCCGAGGGCAGCCTGGACGTGCTACAGTCCTGGTAATGGGTGTGGGGAGGCAGGCAGGGAGGGGCGGGCAGGGGCAGGCAGGGACTCCGAGGGGTGCTACCAGCTGCTTATTCTGCCTCCTGCATTTCCACGTGCAGCTGGCTCGCTCTGTCCTGGAACAGGGCTCATTTCACCAGTGGTTCCAGTTCCTGATACAGACTTTGGTGCCCCCAGATCACACCACCTCCCCTGGGAAGGAGTCACTGTGTTGGGGAGTGGGGCAGGGCCGGGTGTGCAGAGTGACACTCGGGCTGGTGGGACCCAAATCAGGGTCGTTCCTCCTGTGTGTTTCTCTGTGTTTCTAGAAGGCAGGGCCGCTCTGCTCTGCTCAATGGCCAGAGTGGGGGTTCAGGCAGAGGGTCTTCCTGGGTGAGGCCTCCCTGGGTCTTGAGGGGTTCTCCCCAGACTGGGAGCCTCCCCATCTCTGGCCTGGGGGATGGGGGTGAAGCCACTGTCCTTCCTGTTGCCCTGGGGCTCTTGCAGGTGTGAGAAGTTGGCCGAGATCATCTGGCAGAACCGGCAGCAGATCCGCAGAGCTGAACACCTCTGCCAGCAGCTGCCCATCCCCGGCCCGGTGGAGGAGATGCTGGCCGAGGTCAATGCCACCATCACAGACATCATCTCAGCCCTGGTGACCAGGTGACTGCTGCCTCTTGGCCGCGCCTAGCTCCCCATGTGGTTGGCATGGGAGGGGAAGGGGTGCTTTGCAAATGGGAACTCTCGCTTGAATCCTTGTCTCTCTCTGCCTCACACCCTCCACCCCTCCACCACCCCCCCCCGTCCCCGGTTGCTCTGGCCTCTTGGTGTTGACCTTGCCCAGTTTCTCTTGTGGACACTACAAGGGCTGCCCTTGTCACCTGTAGCCCATGCCAGCTGCTGAGGTCATTTCACTGCCTCCCCTCCCGCCACCCCCCACTCTCGGTGGCCTCCCTGGGAACGGGCTGCATCATATGCTCTTATGTCATGCGCTGGGCTGCCTCCCCATGCAGAGGGACCAGAGCCCTGTCCCCTGAGCCAGCATCACATTGTCTATCTGGTCATTTGTGTCCCTGCAGCACATTCATCATCGAGAAGCAGCCCCCTCAGGTCCTGAAGACCCAGACCAAGTTTGCAGCCACTGTGCGCCTGCTGGTGGGCGGGAAGCTGAACGTGCACATGAACCCCCCCCAAGTGAAGGCCACCATCATCAGTGAGCAGCAGGCCAAGTCACTGCTGAAGAACGAGAACACCCGCAAGTATGTGCCCTCCCTCCACCATCTGCCTGTTTCTCGACTCCTTGCCATAGGAAGAGAAGGATCCTCCAAGAAGTTTTCTAGTCTCAGCCATTTCAGTGTGGGAGCCCCGTTAGCCCTCTGGCCTTTTCTTTGTCTCAGAGAAAGACTAGAAGGGGGTTTTCCTGTGAAGAAGTTATGCTTTTGTTTCATTTAGTAGGAATACATCCAAGAAAACTTCTTGTATATTTTATGTATATTTATTTCTTGTATATTTTATGCAACTCACACAAGTTTTTAACAACCTTCTTATGTCCTCCTATGCCAAATATATTTTCTCCCCCATGTGTCCTGAGACGCTGTGTGGATTAGACTGTCTCTCTTTTTGCAGTGATTACAGTGGAGAGATCTTGAACAACTGCTGCGTGATGGAGTATCACCAGGCCACCGGCACCCTCAGCGCCCACTTCAGGAACATGGTGAGGATGGGTGAAGAGCCAGAACGAACTCTCCCTAGCTGTTTGAGGGCTTCATTGTCTTATTTTTCTCCTTTGCAGTCCCTGAAACGAATTAAGAGGTCTGACCGTCGTGGAGCAGAGTCAGTGACAGAAGAGAAATTTACAATCCTGTTTGAATCACAGTTCAGTGTTGGTGGAAATGAGCTGGTTTTTCAAGTCAAGGTAAAGGCCTCCCTCAGCTGTGGGCGTGCGTACGTACATACTCTTTGTCACAACAGAATTGTTTTGATCACATAATCTCTTCTTTTTGATTATTGATGAACAGAAAGTAAGGAGACCTCATCCTTAGAACTGTATCTCTTAGATTCTCTTAAGACACGAACAAGTAATAACGAACTGAAATAGTTGGAGATACAGGTAGAAAAGGAATCAAGAGGGCCGGCTCCGTGGCTTGGCGGTTGAGTGCGCGCGCTCTGATGCTGGCGGCCCGGGTTCGGATCCCGGGCACGCCCCAAGGCACCACTTCTCCGTCCAACGCGAGGCCGAGTCCCACGTACAGCAACTAGAAGGATGTGAACCTATGACATACAACTGTCTGCTGGGGCTTTGGGGGGAAAAAAATGAATAAATAAAATCTTTAAAAAAAAAAAAAAAAAAGAAAAGGAATCAAGAGAAATTTCCATCACTCAGGATGAATTTGAGTAACAGTTGTAGTTTGGACATTTGTTACTTGCTATTTTTTCCCATAAATGTCTCCATACTCTTTGTCTTTTCTCTCTCTTGTTCTCCATGTAACTTTGATAAACTTACTCCATCCTTCAGAAGTATCTAAGCAACGTCTCTTTTAAAATATCTAAAATTTCTAAATATGCCAATGTGGAGAGTTGTATTATTCCTGGAGCCATTCAGATTCTGTATTTGAGGGTGACGTTTACTGAAACTTGAAGAGAGAATGAACGTGCCGTGATAGAACAGAAGGAGAAGCAGGGGAAGTGTGGCTGTGGGCACTGAGCCCTTCTGTGTCTTTTCAGACCCTGTCCCTCCCGGTGGTGGTGATTGTTCACGGCAGCCAGGACAACAATGCGACGGCCACTGTCCTCTGGGACAATGCTTTTGCAGAGCCTGTGAGTGGATTCCTTGGGCCAGAGGGTCTTAAGAGCTTGATGTTAAGATGAATCATTTTCATGTGTTATCCCCCAAAAAAGCATAGAAAAAGTGCTATTTTCCTAATGGGAGGCAGAACAAAGAGTATGTGGAAGGTGGAAAGAGCATGGCCTTGAAGTCAGGCTGGGGTCTGAATTCAGGCTCCACCATTTCATCACTCTGTGACCATGGGAAATTCACTTTACCTCTCTGAGCTTAAGTTTCCTGTAAGTGTCTGCAACACAGGGATAATAATGCTCCATAGTGTTGTTAGGAAGATTAAATTAGGTAACATACAAAATGCTTGGCACATGGTCAACACTCAATAAGTATTATTTTGAATCCTTGGGTGAAACCATGAATGGAATTTGGGACTCCCAGGTTCCTTCTAAAGGTTAGACCTCTCAGGAGGTTACTTTAGCTGAGAAGTTGCTTCCTGTCATCTTCCTTCCAATAAATGAGGGTGACATGTAATGTCTTTTCCAAATTTGAGCTTCTGTGATTCATCCTAGGTCTCTCATGAAGAATGAGTTGCTTTGTCTAAAGGAACAAATATGATCCTGTAGATTTATGCACCCGAATACAATCTGAATACCACTAGGGTGCTGCTTGATGGGCATTTTCTAGGCATTTCAGTAGGCGAGGTTGTATGTGTTGCATATTTCCAGTAGAGGTTAGTCCATAAAAGCATGATAAAAGGGTTATAGTTGTTTATTCAGAACATACAAGTATGTCCTCCCCGAATGTGACTCTCATGTTAAGAGTCTTACTTAGCATTCTCAACAGTCCTCTTTAGAGAACAATGTTTTTGCTGCAAAGGTGAGATGTTTAGCAGAAATTCTGCCATGTTTATGCTACAAACCCTGGGTTTGAGGCTCCTTTTAAAAAAATATCTGCCTAGAGGCTGGCCTGGTGGTGTAGTGGTTAAGTTTGCATGCTCCGCTTCCCTGGGTTCATGAGTTTGGATCCCGGGCGCACACCTACACACTGCTTATCAAGCTGTGCTGTGGCAGGTGTCCCACATATAAAGTAGAGGAAGATGGGCATGGATGTTAGCCCAGGGCCAATCTTCCTCACCAAAAAAAAAAAATCTGCCTACATCATGTCCTGATAAGCCTCCTGGATAGAATTGCCACATCTTCTCTTCTTTCCTTTCCTGCCAGTCCACAGATCTCACTCCTCGTGTGACTTGGGCATCTCCTGTAATGTGTCATTGCTAAAGTATCTTGTCTATATAAACATTTTTAGTTATATTAATGACTAGTGTACATCTTATGCTGTTTTAAAATAAATACACGTGAAAAATTTACAGATATGTTTGCAGATGTGTCAAAAGATACAAGTACATCACAGCATTGTTTGTAAGGGCGATACATAGATATTCATCTATCGGGGTCTAGTGAAATATATTATTGTTTTTCCATACTGTAGAATATTTAGCAGCCACAAAAGAAAATGAGGAATTTCTTTATGTGCTAATGTGAGGTCTCCCAGATATAGTATTAAGTGAAAAAAGGGAGATGCAGAACATGTGGATTTTGTGCTACTATTTATATTTTAAAAAAGGAAAAATTGTATTTATTTGCTGGCATGCATAGAGTATCTTTGAAAGTATACACGAGAAACTAGATTACATGCCTTTGGGGAGAGGAACTGGGTTGCTGGGGGACGGGGATAGGATAGTGACTTTCCTGTATGCCCTTCTGTGCTGTTTAAATTTTATATCATGTGAAGGAATTGCTATTCAAAAATTTTTTTGTAATATTTCAAATAAAATGAAGTACTATGGGTGAGTGGGATGAAAAGCAGTATTAAAAATTCATATTTTAGCCTAAGTCGTCCAACTCATAGTTTCCACTCTTCCATACTAAGTTGTTTCACTTCGAGCTAGAGGTCTTGGCAGAAGGTGTCAAGGGCAAGGATTGCACTTGTGCACACACATGTGCAAGCAGGCACACACATTCTCTCTCTCTGTACCTAGAGAGCCAGCCTTTTAGATTTCTGTTCCCATTGAGTTTACAGTGTAAGAGCCAGACCTTGGTCATGTTTTGTTTTTGTGGCTGGTTAGAACGCAGGATGGGATGGTACATTCAGCAGCTTATTTACAGAACCCCGTAGATAGCATGACGTTGCCTTCTAAGTTGTGTGTGAAGAAGGTAAGATGGAATTCTGAACTTCTGCATTTCACACAACTGCATACCCCAAGAAACTTTGAATTTATCCTCAGGCTCAGCAAGACAAATGAATGTCTTAACTACTTCCAGCCATCAATGTTTTTCTTTTGAGTGGAGGCAATAAATCATGCAACTGTTTTCCCCTAAGCTCTGGCTTCTCTCCCTCTCAGGGCAGGGTGCCATTTGCCGTGCCTGACAAAGTGCTGTGGCCGCAGCTGTGTGAAGCACTCAACATGAAATTCAAGGCCGAAGTGCAGAGCAACCGAGGCCTGACCAAGGAGAACCTCGTGTTCCTGGCGCAGAAACTGTTCAACAGCAGCAGCAGCCACCTCGAGGACTACAACAGCATGTCCGTGTCCTGGTCCCAGTTCAACAGGGTGAGGGACCTGCTGCCAGCTGCCATTACATCAGTCCCTCCAAACCAGATGCTTTCAGGAGTCTCCCTGCCCCGCACCCTTCTTCTTCCTGTCTCTAATACAACAGAGTAGTAGGAAGCTTTGAATAGGTGGACAACCATATACTTTTATGTAGAAAATGACATCTTTGACTATCTAAGTAAATTGGGCTTTGTGTGCAGCGAGTGCATTTTCTTCCTTTATAAAGGAAACAGAGCAAAGCAAATGGTAACATAACTCATGAGAAGTCAAGCTTTTGTGATGATCAGAACTCCATGGATCTGTCTCATTGATTCCCTGATGTCCCCTGATGTGTAATGCAAAGCCAGGCTCCCACGGGACCCTCAACCCGCAAAAGGGGATGCTGATGTAGGAGACTTGTCCTCTAGCATCGGGTAACTCAGATGTCACCTGGCACATCTTTGATTTTAAATTTAACTTTTGTTTCTTTGCTTACACTCCCATCCCCAAGTATTTTAAATGCTCTAATTGAGAGATCTCATGGTCTCTGGGTCTCTTTTAAGCAGTTGTGTGTTAATCAGTTGGCCAGCAGGTTTGCTGGTAGTCAGAAGTTTGTTTTGATAGGGGAAGCAGGAGGCCTGGGCGATCTGTCCTTGCCATTGTATTAAGGCTCCTGCCTTCCAATAGAGTCAGATAACCGAATTTTGCTGATAATTATTGGTAAAAGCTGTGTGGTGGAGCAAACTCGGCGGCCTCACGGTGTGGTCTAATCCAGTGCAGATTTACAGATCACCTGGGCACCTTGTTCAGGTGCAGGTTGTGATTCAGCAGGTCTGAGATGGGACCTGAAAATTTGCATTTCTCAGCAGCTGCCAAGTGCTGCTGCTGGTCACAGACCACATATCAAAAACAGCGAAGGACTCGTCAGCCCAGATCCAGTGGGAAGTGTGTAGCAGGGCCCACTGGGTGTGGGTAATTGCTCTGTGGTATTTTCCCCTTCTTCTCTCTTTTCCTCTATTCTGCTTTTGGTTGTGGGACCATTTGGTAAAACTCAGGGGGGTGTGTATATTTGTCTGATTCTGACAGTGTAGATACTTGTTTTCCATTTAATTTTTCTGGTTAAATTATATACAGATAATGTTGCAAGTGTTACTGTTGCCGTCTTATGTTCATTGTCATATCCCCAACCAGGAGAATTTACCAGGACGGAATTACACTTTCTGGCAGTGGTTTGATGGTGTGATGGAAGTGTTAAAAAAACATCTCAAGCCTCATTGGAATGATGGGTGAGTATCGTCATTTCTTATGTCAGCAATAGAGTACAAAGGGCTTCTTTCCGGTGTTAAAACACCCTCTTCTGTGCTCCTTTGGCCTTTGTGATCCAGGGCTATTTTGGGTTTCGTGAACAAGCAGCAGGCCCACGACCTCCTCATTAACAAGCCCGATGGGACTTTCCTGCTGAGATTCAGTGACTCTGAAATTGGTGGCATCACCATTGCTTGGAAGTTTGATTCTCGTGAGTACCCCTCACTTTTTTAAGACATATCTTGGCTCTAGTTAGCTGCTTTTGTTGCAAAATTACTTTAACAGTTTATTGAGTACTTATTATGGGGCCGGTACTGATTAAAGGAACACAAGTGTCTAACCGTGACACAGCTGCTGATAACATGGCAGCCTGTGTACAGTCTTATCATGGGAAACACAGTTACTAATTTTGAGAAACGCAAATGTGTCACACTGACATGGCTACCTGTAATAATTCCGTCCAAAATCTCAGCTGCTTCCCTTTTGAAATGTTTGCCTTCTTATTACTCAACCTTGAGCTTATTTTAGTGAAGAATCACTTTGATGATTTGGAGTCATTAGACTGCAAATAATATGCTATTTAATTATTCCTGTATCCTGGTTAACATAAAGGTATTGCCTTTGATCATTTCTATCTAAGAATGTTAGTTCTTTCCTTTGACCTTCGCAATAAGAAGAGTAGCTCGATAGTTTTTTTTTTGCAACTTAAAGATTTTAATAGCTTTTATTTTTTTTATTTATTTATTTTTTTGTGAGGAAGATCAGCCCTGAGCTAACATCCATGCTAATCCTCCTCTTTTTGCTGAGGAAGACCGGCTCTGAGCTAACATCTATTGCCAATCCTCCTCCTTTTTTTTTTCCCCCCTAAAGCCCCAGTAGATAGTTGTATGTCATAGTTGCACATACTTCTAGTTGCTGTACGTGGGACGCGGCCTCAGCATGGCCGGAGAAGTGGTGCGTCGGTGCATGCCCGGGATCCGAACCCAGGCTGCCAGTAGCGGAGCACACGCGCTTAACTGCTAAGCCACAGGGCCGGCCCTTTAATAGCTTTTAATAGCTCTCACACGTCCTCTGGCTCTGGACCGTGCTTCCTCTCTCTCTTATATACTTTTTCGCAGGGGTCAACAAGAACTGTTTCTTCTAGAGAGGGACAGAGTACCATTTGAACTTGAAACTACCTGAGATCATTGGATTTCTAGGGAAGTGGTGTATGCATTACTTCTTATCTGCCCATGGCTTTTAAAAACTACTGAATCCACAACCTGCGGTTATTTTTAAATGGAGATTTTTATTAGGACTATTTTAATGGAGAGCTTTAATTTGTAGTATATTTGGGTTTTAAGATTTCCTGTTCAGAAATCATGTTTAGAATATGGTTATTCTGTTTATTGATCTAGAGGAAAGAATGTTTTGGAATCTGATGCCTTTTACCACCAGAGACTTCTCCATCCGGTCCCTGGCTGACCGCTTAGGGGATCTAAATTACCTAATCTACGTGTTTCCTGATCGGCCAAAAGACGAAGTGTACTCCAAATATTACACACCAGTTCCATGCGAGCCTGCCACTGGTAACAATGTTCGCATTCTGATTTGGTTTTGTTGTGATTTTGGTTTTGTTTTAGTTTTGTGTGAGTGTGTGTGTGTGTGTGTGTCTGTCTTACATGGAAACCTACACGATTAGCATTTCGTTATTGCTGTTTGAGCATTATCCAGGGCAGAAGTAAATCCTGGGCTGTATTCTTCTGGCATACACAAGACACATCTGCCACTAACCTCACATATCAAATTGAAGGGAACAAATTGCTTTTAATACAAGTTTAGATTAAACGAGATTAGGAAGGTAAAATTTTGTTTTTCAAAACAGAGGTGGTTTTATTGTTTTCTGAACATAAAAGTATTATGTTTTTATTTTAAAATTTCCAGAAAGGATAGAAAAGAAAATAGATACCACACATCTCTCATCTACAGATGAATCACTGTAAACAATTTAGTGAATATTCTTCCAGTCTATATAGGTATGTATTCTTCACTCATTCATTCAGTCACCAGATGCTTATTAGTACTTCCTGTGTGGAGGTTACAATCTAGTAGCAGAAGGAAGACAATAAACAAGTAAGAAATAAATGTATTTATTTTGTGATGAAGGCTATGAAGACAGGTAGGCAAGGGAGAGGGATAAAGAAGTGACAGGGAGGAGGATGGGGGGTAGCATTCACTAGAGTGATCAGGGAGGGCTTCTCTAAGGAGGTGACATCAGAATAGACCTGAACGAAGTGAGGAGGCTAGCCACACAAAGATCTAGAGAGAAAACATTCTAGGCTGAGAGAACTAGTACAGAAACCCTGAGGTGGGAGTGAGGTTGGTGTGTTTGAAAAACGTCACAAGGCCCTGGGGGCTGGAGCTGGAAGAGCAGGGAAGAAAGTGGTAGGAGATGAGGGCAGAGCAGTAGGAGGGGCCAGTGGAGTCTAGTAAAAGGTTTGAGTCATACTGCATGTCATCTTTTGTGACCTGATTTTTTTTTCACCTAAAAACGTATCATAGGCAGAGTCGCAGGTCGGTAAATATAATCTTAAAACATCATTTTAACGATTGCATAGAATTCTATTTTATGGTGATTCCATGTTTGTTATTTAAGATACTTATAATTTAAGTCATTCAGTTTTTTGTTATGATTAATATTGAGATAACCTGATACATACATCTTATTCAGCTATTTCCTTAGGATAAATTCTGAAAGTAGAATTTGTGTCAAAGGGTATATACTTTTTAAGCATTTTGACACATCTTTCCAGAATTGCCTTCCAGAAAGCAGAATTTGTTTTCACTCCCACGGATGTCTGTTGGAGTATCTGCTTCTGCATCTTTCTGCCAATCATAGATTCTGTGCATCCATTTCCTGTTTGCCAGTCAGATTGACATAAAAATGGTATCTTAGTTCTTATTTTAATTTCTTTGATTCTAGGTAAGGTCAAAACATCATTTCATATAATGTTAATAACAATAATAATAAATAGAATAATAACATTTGTTGCATGCTTACTGTGTGCTGGGCACTTTTCTGGGCACATTTTCATGTAGTATCTCATTTAATCCTCAAAACAGGTCTGTGATGTGGGTACTGTTACTAGTCCCCATTTTACATATGAGAAACTGAGTCACAAAGATATAAAATAATTTGCAAAGGCCGCACAGCTAGGAAGTGGCCAAGCCAGGACTTGAGCTCAAACAGTCTAGCTCCAGAGCCTATATTTTTTAACCAGCACATTGTTGGCCATTTGTATTTTTTTCTGTGAAGTGCGTTCATGTTCCTTTTTTTCTCATTTTTCTTCTGGAGTTCCTTTTTTTGTTAATGGTGTGTAAGTATTTTTATATAGTAAATAAACCCTTTATTATATATAGCAAATATTTTTCTCAGTGTGTCATTGTTCTTTTAACATTTAAGGTTTGTTTTGCTGAAGTGCAAAGACTTGTGTTTTCTATATAGCCCAATCTATCGACGTTTTTCCTTTATAGATTCTGTCTTTTGTATCATGCCTTCCCACCCTAAGATTGTAGTTATATTTCTAGGTGGGAAGATAAGCCAAAATATTTTCAGATTGATGTGGTATTTTGGATTAAAGCCGTCACTGCTGCTTTTTATTAGCACAGCTAATCTAGATTTTTAACCTATTTTTTACAACATTTCTCCGATTTTTATCTTTTCTGCCAATCTGTAATTTCTCTGTAGACTAGAAAGCACAAAAAGCATGAGATATTGTGAAAAGGTGGCTCCTGATATTTGAAGCCGCTGGGAGGAGCAGGTTAGGATGACAAGCAGTTTGTGACGGTGTGGCACTTCACTGCCTTGGGCTGTTTCTCTGACCAGCTCTTCATCTGTTGACCTTAGTGTCATCTTTATTGTCTAATACAGTGAAGATTATACTTCTTCCCATACTCATATACCCAGGAAACAAGACTCATTACCGACTTCAGGCTGTCACATTTCTGCTACCTACTTAACTGGATTTCCATAATCACCCTTCGAAAAGGTCACTATGGCTGACCAGATCACTTTCAGCTTTATCCCCCAGCCAACCACATCCCAGGGGGGATTCTGTGGAGAGGGAAAGAGAGACACAATGCCAGCATTCTTTTTAACCAGCCATGGGGCACAGACAGCACTCACTGGCATGAGCCACCCTCAGATTTCCCCAAATGCAGAAACCCCAGGGGCACGAAAGAGCACGCAGATACCTGAGGGACATCCCCTTTCCTAAGAGTAGATACTCAGGGTAACTTTGAGGATCATAAAGTCAAACTAATTCCTCTCTAATGCTTAGATTCTTCTGTGCCTCCCTGACAAGTGTTTGTACACGTTGTGCTTGAAAACCTCCAATGACAAGGAAATAAGTTCTTCTCGAGACAGCCCATTGCTTTTTTGGGCAGTTCTGATTATGATGACATTCTTCCTTATATGACTAAGAATTTGTCCTGTTCCGACCTCCTCCTGTTGGTCCGAATTTTGTCCCATGGGACACAGAGCAAATCCTGTGCCTCTGCTGCATCTTCGACTTTAAAGTTTTTAAGATATTTTTTCTTTTTACAGTTAGTAAGCAATGAATGCTTGATTTAGATTTGTATTGAACTATATATTTTCTGTGGTTTCAAGAATTTATTAACACCTCCAAGCCAACTTGGAAAATATCTTAAGGTGCAGTTTTAGTATTAAGGCTTCTCCTCTACCAGGTCTTCCTAACAGGTTGAAATATTAAGTGCTTGTATCAGATCCTAAGATAAAATTAAGCGGTTGTGTCTTATCCTAAGGAAAGATGTGATTCTTAAGGGAGGTTGCATTTTTTATTTCATTTGAGAACTTTGGTTCTCATCATGGTTCCCCCCTTGGCAGCTAAAGCAGTGGACGGATACGTGAAGCCACAGATCAAGCAAGTGGTCCCTGAGTAAGTGTCCAGGGTCCAGCTCTGGTCTCCTGCTGCCTCTTTTCTCCTCCCCTGGCTCTCCTCACCCCTCACCACTGCCCCACTCCTGTTCAGGGGTCCAGCGTTCCCTCCCTCACCCCAGAAACCTGGCTCAGCCTTGGGGAGAGAACTGAGCTTCGTCATGATGGGGCCAGTACCCAGGGCCCCACTCCTGCAGCTGGAGTCCCCGGCCCAGTGGACACTTTGTCCTTCTGTACCCGAAAAAGACATAAAGATGCCCCCTGAGCCCCTCCCCAAGTCAGCTGCTGCCCTGAGGCCGCTGAGCCCAGCTCTGCTTCCTCCTACAGGTTTGTGAGCGCGTCTGCAGACTCTGCCGGGGGCAGCGCCACCTACATGGACCAGGCCCCCTCCCCAGCCGTGTGTCCCCAGGCTCATTATAACATATACCCACAGAAGTAGGTTGTGTTCTCATGGGGCTCCGCGGGGAGGAACTGGGCGCTTGGCCTCAGGCTGGCCCCCCGGAGGGCTGGTGCGCAAAGGACTATCCAGAGCTCCTCTAGTCTGAGACCACCCAGCCCAGGCCAGGGTCTGGTGTGTGCCCGGGGGAAGGGAGAGATTTCACCAGAAGATACTGGCAGTTTAGAGTGGGACTGGGCAAATGTCATCTGCTTCCCTCTCCCAAAATGGAGATTTTTCTTGCTCTGTTTAAGGACCGGGTGGGGTTTAGATGTGTCTGGCCAGTCAGTGTTAGGGGCGGCTGGGGTGGGTGGTTTAGTCTGAGTCTCTGTCCAACTGTCTGTCAAAGGACTCCACTCCCCAGTGCTCAGCTCAGGAGAGGTTCTTCTCCCACGAAGCCTAGGCTGAGGGTCCAGGCAGTCTTGGGCTACTCACCTGGTGGGGTGGTCTCTGTTCCTCGTCATTGGCCTCTGACAACCTTTCCCTTCATCTCTTCTCTTCCCCCCCCAAGCCCTGACGCTGTCCTTGACACCGATGGGGACTTTGATCTGGATGACACCATGGACGTGGCGCGGCGTGTGGAGGAACTCTTAGGCCGACCTATGGACAGTCAGTGGATCCCTCACGCGCAGTCGTGACCCCCCATCTCCATCTTTGGCTTCTTCATCCTCGCCAGAGGAGTTACTCTTGTGGATGTTTTAATTCCATGAATCGCTTCTCTTTGGAAACAATACTTATAATGTGAAGTGTTAATACTAGTTGTGACTTTAGTGTTTCTGTGCATGGTGGCACCAATGAAGGGAGTGAGTGTGTGAGTGTGTATGTGTGTGAGTGTGTGAGTTTGCACATTGTGTTTCTCCCCCTTGCTGTCCAGAGTTTAACTGCAGCATTGGGGCCACAAGCAGAGACTGTGGTTGTTTTAACCTTGTGCAAAAAGGCAGTTAGTTCCGTGAACCCTGGAACTTGGCCATGGGTCTTGAGGGTGGCTAAACTTTGACTTGAACAGGTGGCTGTTCAAGTAAGAGAAGGACAGAGGGAGGAGAAAGCGCCTCCTCTCTGGTGAGTCTTTGTCGCTGTGTCTGCCAAGCAATTGATATATAACCATGATTGTCTCTGCTTTTCTTCTGAAATGTAGAAACTGCCTTTTGACAAAGAAAGCCAGTCCTCCCTGCTTCCCTCTCCTCCCACCCCTGTTTTCCTGGGTAAGGATGGGAAAAGGGGCGACGTACGGGATTGTTGGGGCAAGGGGAGTCATGGGTTTTCAGATGAGTAGTGGTTTTTAAGTAACGCTTAACCCATCTGAATGTTCTCTCCCTCCCTGTCCTCCCTCCTTCTCTCACTCTGTGGAATTGCCACTCGGTTCCTGTGTGTGCACATGTGCAGACATGTCTGATGAGCTAAAGGAAAGAAAAGAGGGTCATGGAACCGAAGCTTATAGTGCTGATGTTCTTGGTGTTCCGGCCAGAGGGGAGTGCCCAGCCCTGACTCGCAGGCACAGGGAATGTTGGCTTGTTACCCAGGGAAGCTGCCGTCCAGTCTGCCGTCCTTCCTCTGCGCTGCTGGGGGCACAAGCAAGGCTTTCCGAAGGCTTATTGATAACGGCTTTTTGCAAATGTTGAATGGTGTTTTTGTTTCTAAATTGGGCCTCTTTTTGTTTTCCTTTTCCTACCCTAATTTGACATCAGAATTCTTTCTTCCTGCATCAGGACCTGTGTCATTCATCCCAGGTCACTTCATTTCCCTTCACTGTCCACACACAATTTCTGGGGAGTGGGTGGCAGGAGTCTGATCTGAACCCAGGGCCAGAGTGTTCAGCGGGTATCGTTGCTCACCTGGTGCGGGGTGCTGGGTGTCAGGCATTGGGAATTTGGGGAAATGCAGTCAGCAGGTTTGCTGGGAAGTTTGGTAAGCTGCCAAAACAAAACAAAAAAGCCTCAGCATAATTTTGTCCACGATTTCTTCCGTAGCTTTACCTCAGAGAGAAGGAATGGGCTGTGGCGGGCAGGTCAGAAGAGGGGGAAGCAGGTGTAGCTTTTGGGTTAGGCCTAAGAGGTCAGCCCCGGGCCCCTCTCTAAAGGAAGGACTTGATCACACCCAGGAGAGAATGGCCCTAAAAACCTTATTTTTATACATGTGAGTAAATAAACATATTTTTTTTACAAAAAATAACTTCTGAATTTATCAGTGTTTTGATGTTAAAGGAAAATACTCCTGTGTAGTAAATTATTTATTGGAAGATGACTTTTTAAAAGCTGCTGTTTGCTCTGGCTTGGTTTCATACACTGATTTATTTTTCTATGCCAGGCAGTAGACTCTCTCTGCCTCTGAGGAGCAGGCTGACCCCTCCACGGATACCAGCGTTGACGTAGGATGCTGCTGAGCCCCTTACATACCCCTCAAGATTTGATTAAATCCGTGAGGATGGGAGCGTTGGGGACAGGAGTAAAGGAGGCCCGACTGCCGTGGGCCCTGCTTAGAGCCCTTCCCTGCCGTCACTAGGGCTTCCCCAGCACCCGGCTCTGCGTGGCAGCTCCCTCGGGCATTGACACACTTCCAGGTGGCAGTGGACCAGCCTCAGGGCAGGCTGAGGGCAGAGCTCTCGCTTCACAGTTGGCATCAGGGTTGGGGGGACAGGTGTGAAGAGTGGGGCTGCCCGAGCATGGGTCCCCACGCTTCTCCGGTTGCTGACTGTCCTCATTTTGCTGAGGCTGTGCCTGTCGGTGGGGGAGATTTTTGACGGAAAGGTGCGCTTGCTCTCTGCATTACGTTTTCTCTCTTCCCCGTTCTTGCAAACCAAAAGAAGAGGCGACGGCAAGTCCTAGCGCCTCAGTCTCTCGCTCGCTCCCAGACACACACACACGTTATCAAAATGTTTCGGTGTGTGGTATGTGCAGGGTTTTGTTGGGGGCGGGGTGGGGGGAGACTAAAAGTGAATATAACTTAAAATGGAGGTACACTTTTTATAATTTTTCTTTTTAAAACTTTGTGAAATTATCTCACATACATATTTTAGTGTTGAGGCAGATTAGTATATAGCCACCAAAAAAGTATTGTGTACAATTTGGGGCAGTCACAAAATTGTGTATTTTATGTTACAATAAAGCCTTCTTCTGAAGGGACAATATTGAGTCCTGTTTTTCTTCTTTTCCATCAGGTGGCGAGAGGGGGTGGCTTTAATAGGGAAGAGTTCGAGATCATCAGTGTGACTCAGAAAAGGGGAACTAGCTTGGGAGGTGGCTGCCTCGGAGCGTGTCATCAGCTTTGATGGCAGATGGGGACATTTCTCACCTTCCTGTTGATATGATGTTTTGGAAATTAAAATGATAGTCTTTATCTCCTGACTCCACACTCTTCCTATTAGAAACTCATCCTTAAAATTCAGCACATTTAGAGTGCCTGCCCTGAGCCAGGCAGTGTGCGTGGGATGAGGAAACAGTCCTGCCCTCGAGAGGATTGCAGTTAGGGAGAAAGGCAGCTAACAACCAATTATGATGAGATATTGGTTTATGCTGCAGTACAGCTATTCCAGGGCCATTATCGAATACAAAAGAAGAGCACTGAACAGCTTGAACTGACTCTTAACGGACAAATAGGAGTTAGGAAAGGAAAAGGCATTCAGCCAGAGGGACTAGCACGGGTATAGGCCTGGAGATGCAGGAAAGCAGGATATGGCGAGTAAAGGATGATTTGTGGTTCTCAGCTCCAGGGTGCCTCAGAATCTCCTGGAGGACTTGGTAAAGCGCAAATGGCTGGGCCCTCTCCAGATTTTCTGAGTCAGTAGGTCTGGGGTGGAGCCTGAGAATTTGCATTTCTAACAAGTTCCCAAGTGAGGCTGGTGCAAGGACTATGGTAGGTGATGAGGCTGGAAGGTCAGGCAGGGGGTAGATCACAAGGGCCTCGTGTGCCCGGCTAAGAGTTTCAACTTCACCAGAACGTGATGGTAAGTGATGAAACCTTTTAAGTAAGGGAATGGACAGATGTTCACTTTAAGAAATACCTCAGCGACAGTGTGCAGAAGAACGGATTGAAGGGAGGCAAAACAGGAAGTCAGGGAGCAGCTGGGAGGCTGTTTCTGCAGTCCAGGTCAGAGGAGATGAGGGTCTAGACTAGGGTACCACAGCAGTGGCCCTGAGCATAATTTGTAGACTTAGTGACCAATGTGGGGGGGCAGGGTTGGAGTCTAGAGTAATTCCAGGGTTCTGGTTTGGAAAATGATTGATAGAGATGCTCCTCAGTAAGATGGGGAGGGGGAGATACAGGAGTAGGAGCAGGTTGGAAGGAAGATTATGAGGACAAATCGGGATAAGCTGGGATGTCCAATTAGACGTGGTTGTGAAGCCTAAGAGAATGGTCAGGGCTGAGAGAGACAGATGAGGGTGGGGCAGGGCGGAGGTGGCCGTGGAGCCTGTTAGTGTCTAGGTGGCATTGAAACTATGGGTGTGAATGACTGAAGAAAGAAGAGAAAGGGACTTCAGGGAGGGACCAGGGGAAATGCTGTGCTTCATTTCAAGGGTCAGGCAGAGGAGAATGAGCTTAAGAAGGATGTTACAAGAATTATGGAAGAGGTAGGAAGCAAGTACAGCGTCACAGAAGCCCAGGGAAGGCGAACAGTGTCAGAGACTACAGAGAGCTCAAATGAAAGAGCTGGGATTGCCCAATGGGTTTGGCACTCGGGGGCTGTTGATGACTTTGGTGAGAACAGTCTGGAATGGTGGGGGCACGAGTCGAGTTGCAGAGCACTGAAGAGTGAAAGGAGGGCCGGCCCTGTGGCTTTGTGGTTAAGTACACATGCTCTGCTGCTGGCAGCCCAGGTTCAGATCCTGGGCCTGCACCGACGCACTGATTCTCCGGCCATGCTGAGGCCGCGTCCCACGTACAGCAACTAGAAGGATGTGCAGCTATGACATACAACTATCTACTGGGGCTTTGGGGGAAAACAAATAAATAAATTTAAAAAATTAAAAAAAAAAAAAGTGAAAGGAGTTCGACTTCTGGCACGACAGCATGAGCCGCTCTGCAGACCCACCCCCCAGTGAAACTAGTGAAAATTATTTTTTAAAAGCCAACCATTTAAAGTCTCCTAAGGGCGTACAACAAATGAAGAAACATCTATTCAAGAAAATCTAAAACTCAGGAAGAAAAGTGAGAGGGTGGTATCTGAACTAAGACCCACTCCCTCCCTCCCGTCTCCCAGCTCAGGAGGACGGAAACTCCACTCCAGACCAGTGCAGCCAAGAACACGGAGCTCCCTGTCCCCCTAGCTCCCAATCAGAGGGTTATCTTCTTGGGAAAAGCAGGATACCAGCATTTCTCATTCTGCTCCCTGCTACCTGTTACTGAGCCAAAGTTCCGGGTGATTGCAGCTGAAAGGTGGAGACTCCCTTCTGCCCAGTCCCCACCGGTGGGATGGATGCTTTACCTTGGGCCTGGTGCTATTGAGAATCTTGGGGCCCTGACTGCCTTTGCTCAGGCCCATAAGGTGGTGGTTCCACAACGGGAGAGACAAGCCAAGAAGACCTGAGGCTACTGCCCACCCCCAACCCCCATCAAGCACTTGGCATTTTTGTGTGTGTGTGTGAGGAAGATTAGCCTAGCCCTGAGCTAACATCTGTTGCCAATCCTCCTCTTTTTGCTGAGGAAGATTGGCCCTGGGCTAACATCCATGCCCATCTTCCTCTATATGTGGGACGCCACGAAAGTATGGCTTGATAAGCGGTGGGTAGGTCCATGCCCAGAATCTGAACCTGTGAACCCCGGGCCACCAAAGTGGAGCGTGCAAACTTAACCACTACGCCACCGGGCCAGCGTCAAGCACTCAGCTTTTTTTTTGTTTGTTTTTTGTGAGGAAGATCAGCCCTGAGCTAACATCCATGCCAATCCTCCTCTTTCTGCTGAGGAAGACCGGCCCTGAGCTAACATCTATTGCCAATCCTCCCCCTTTTTTTCCCTTTTTCTCCCCAAAGCCCCAGTAGATAGATAGTTGTACATAGTTGCACATCCCTCCATTTGCTGTATGTGGGACGCCGCCTCAGCATGGCCGGACAATCGGTGTGTCGGTGCACGTCCGGATCCGAACCCGGGCCGCCAGTAGCGGAGCGCACGCACTTAACCACTAAGCCAGCCCCAAGCACTCAGCTTTGTAAGTGGGCATGTCACTCATAGAGAAGTGTGCCATTGTCCCTGCTCCCAACATCAGAGCTATTGGCTCAGAGATTTTGCCCTAGAAGGGAGAGGCAGGCTGTAAGACAGAGAGCTTCGAATCTCTTCAAAGGAACTGACTTCATTTGCAAGATAAGTTCAAGCTTAAGGGTGCTCTCAAAAACAGTGGAGGTTGCGGTGCAAGTCAATTAGCAGGAGAAAGATAGCTTCATTGGAGATATAGGCTAAACTGCACTGGCTAGTTTGCTAGAAATGAGAAAAGAGACAGCTGGGAGGAACTCTCGTGGGGGCAGAACAAATCTTAAACACTGACCTTGAAACTCCCTTCAAAGATGCCTGAATTTGATTGGGTCAGTTTGTGGAGCAATTTATTCCTCAGGGCATTGTTGAAAAAAAATATAGCAATCAGCCAACAATTAGTGTAGCTTAACAGCTGGGTGTGGTCAGGGAAAAGAGACAGATCTGTGAAAATCACTGTCTTGCTAGGGTGACTGTGGGCATACTGAAGTCTGCACCCCCTAAGGAGCAATATCAGAGGCTTCACACTGTGTGTTGGAGTGAACAGTGGGGAGTAGATAGAGTCACTAAAATAATCCAGCCACTCACTAAACAAGTAAATAACAATCACAAGCCCTGCAAAATTCACAAATATGTGGAAATTAAACAATACACTCCTAAATAACCAATTGAAAAAGAATAAAGTTGAAGTAGCTACACTTCCCAATTTTGAAACTTAGTACAAAGCAAAGATAATCAACATGGTGTGGTACTGGCATAAGGATAAACATGGATCAGTGGAATAGAATTCAGAGTCCAGAAAGAAACCCATGTGTCTATGGTTAATTGATTTTTGACAAGGGTGCCAGGACCATTCAATGGGGAAACAATAGTGTTTTCAACAGATGGTGCTGAGACAGCTGGATAGCCACATGCGAAAGAATGAAGTTGGAACCTTACCTTACATCATACACAAAAATTAACTCAAAATGGATCGAAGACCTAAATGTAAGAGCTAAACTATATAGAAGAAAACATAAAAAAGCTTCATGACATTGGATTTGGCAATGATTTCTTGGCCATGACACCAAAAGCTTAGACAACGAAAGAAGATAAATTGGACTTAATAAAAATAAAAAACTTTTGTGCATCCAAGGACACTATTAACAGAATGAAAAGGCAACCACAGAATGGGAGAAAATATTTGCAAATTATATGTCTGATAAGGGATTAATATCCAGAATATATAAAGAACTCCTCAACAATAACAAGAATTTTTAAATGGGCAAAGGATGTGAATAGACATTTCTCCAAAGAAGATATACAGGTGGCCAGTAAGCATACGAAAAGATGCTCAATCATTAGGGAAATGCAAATCAAAACCACACAAGATACCACTTCTTACCCATTAGGTTGGCTATTACAAAAAAAAATAAAGCAGAAAACAACAAGTCTGGTAGGGGATGTGGAAAAATTGGAACCTTTGTGCATTGCAGGTAGGCATGTAAAATAGTGCAGCTTGCCGTGAAAACAGTGTGGTGGTTCCTCAAAAAATTAAACATAGAATTACCATATGATCCAGCACTTCCACTTCTGGGTATATACTCAAAACAATTGAAAGCAGGGACTCAAATAGATATTTGTACACCCCTGTTCATAGCGGCATTATTCACAATACCAAAAGGTGAAAACACACGAATGCCCATCAATGGATAAAAGGATAAACAAAATGTAATATAAACATACAATGGAATATTATTCAGTCTTAAAAAGAATGGAGACTCTGACACATGCTACCACATGGATGAATCTTGAAGACATTATGCTAAGTGAAATAAGGCAGACACAAAAGGACAAATATTGTATGATTTCCCTTGTTTGGTACCCAGAGCAGTCAAATTCATAGACAGAAAAGAGAGTGGTGGTTGCCAGAGGCTGGAGGGATGAGGAATGGGGAGTTATTGTTCAATGAGTACAGAGTTTCAGTTTAGGAACGTGAAAAAGTTCTGGAGATGGATGGTGGTGATGTTTGCACAACAATGTGAATGTACTTAATGCCACTGAAGTGGATACCTAAATATGGTTACAATGGTAAATCTTATGTATATTTTACCACAATAAAAAAAGGAACAAAGACCTAAATATAAGTGCTAAGATTATAAAACCATTAGAAGAAAACATAGGGGTAAATCTTCATGACCTCGGATTTGACAGTAGATTCTTAGATATGACACCAATAGCACAAGCAACAAAAGAAAAAATAGATAACTGGACTTCAAAATTTTAAATTTTTATAATTCAAAGGACGCTATCAATAAAATGAATAAACAGCCCACAGAATGGGAGAAAATATTTGCAAATCATATATTTGATAAGGGCCTTGTATGTAAAATACATAAAGAACTCTTACAATTTAATAATTAAAAAGCCAAATAACCCAATTAAGAAATGGGAAAGGATCTGAAAGGATATTTCTCCAAAGATGATATACAAATGGCCACTAAACACATGAAAAGATGCTTGACATCATTAGTCATCAGGGAAAGGCAAATTAAAACTGACTCAAGTTGGGCTGGCCCCGTGGCTTAGCGGTTAAGTGCACGCGCTCCGCGGCTGGCGGCCTGGGTTCGGATCCCGGGTGCGCACCGACGCACCGCTTCTCCGGCCATGCTGAGGCCACGTCCCACATACAGCAACTAGAAGGATGTGTAGCTGTGACATACAACTATCTACTGGGGCTTTGGGGGGCAAAAAAATAAATAAATAAAATCTTTAAAAAAAAAAAAAAAACTGACTCAAGTCACTTCACACCCCACTAGGATGGCTATAATCAAAAGGTCAGATACTAACAAGTGTTGGCAAGGATGTTGAGAAATTGGAACCCTCATATACTGCTAGTGGGGATGTAAAATGGTGCAGCCACTTTGGAAACCAGTTTAGCAGTTCCTTAAACAGTTAAACAAAGAGTTACTATATGACCCAGCCATTCCATTCATTGGAATACAATGAATCCCTTGCATTCCATTTTTACGCAAGAAAAATGAAAACATATGTCCACAGAAAAACCTATACACAAATGTTCACAACAGCATTATACATAATAGCCAAAGAGTGGAAATGACCCAAATGTCCATCAACTGATGAATGGATAAACAAATGTGGTGTGGTATATCCATACAATGAAATAGTATTTGCCAATAAAAAGGAATGAACTAGTTATACACAGTACTACACAGAAGAAAACATGCTAAGTGAAAGAAGCCAGATATAAAAGACACATGTGATAAGATTCCATTTACGTGAAATGTCCAGAATCTATCCAAATCTAGAGAGAGAGACAGTAGATTTGTGGTTGGGAGTGATGATAGCTAAAGGGTATGGGGTTACTTCTGAGGTGACGAAAATATTATAAAATTGACTGTTGGTGTTGCACATATCTGTGACTATCCTAGAAACCACTGCATTGTACACTTTAAATGAGTAATTTGTATGGTGTGTGAATTATATCTAACAAAGCTGTTATTTAAAAGAAAAATCAAGTGGAAGATTATACAAGAAATGAAAAGGAGTGAAAGGGAAGTGGGGTAGCCAGACAGTGAGAGCAGACCTGTGCAAAGGAGCTCGGCTGTGAAAGGAAGAGGGAGACGCTGCAAGACCCAGAGGTGGGGGAGGGGTTGAAGGGAGGGGTCTTAGTGTCCGAGAGCCAGGGTCAAGGGCACGGGAGGAGGGAGGGCTTAACCACCGGCAGCAGAAGAACCTCATTCTAGAGCATAACTTCTCAAACTTTACAGTAGGAGGGTAGGGGCCTAACTTAGGTGGCCACCTTGCTCCGAGCTGCAAAACTACCTCCTGTCGTAAAGATGGGAGAAGTTTGTTTTTCCTTGGGAGAAAGCCAATAAGCTAACACAGATGGTGACCCCAATTACCAGAGAAAGTTAGGATGAACTACATGTGACAAATGGTGCTGTCAAGTCCTCTTACTTGAGGACTAGTTGTGGTTTATCTTGAGAATGTGTGTAACGGGTTCTATCTGCTTGGCTGTATATGGAGTGAGATTTCTTTCTGTCTTTGCAATCTCGCAGCAGCTTGCCTGGGATGCGCATCACATTCTGGTTTAATGCTTATTCAACAATAAAAGTGTTTTCTTTCTCTACCACCTTTGAGGAGAGGATTTCTGGATTGGGAGAAAATTTTGTTTTTTAACAATTCTCAAGCTCGAGCCTGCTCCAGGATGGGGCATGCCCCACCCCCAGCTCAAGCTGCTTCATGGCGCCGTTTTCCACGCTCAGCTTTCTCTTCCTTTACCTGCACAAGTTTGAGGACCACACTACTCTGGCCCCAGCTTCCTCCATCCGCTGGCTTGGGCCAGCACCCAGCACGTCAGCCCTTAGGCAACCTGCCCCTTTAAGAGCACCCCCCAGCTCCTCCCTCAGGCCCAGTGGCCGGATTTCCCCATCCGGGCCCAGCCCTTTAAAGCCGTGGCTCCATCTTTCTGGCCGGCTGTGTTCTGAGACCTGAGCGCTGAGGGGGCTCTGGGTGCTGGGAGTAGGCACAAGTGGACTGTGACAGGTGCATGTGGGACATGGAACCACTGCCCGGGGCTCAGGAGCTGGAACAGTGTGGACCCTGGGACTGAGCAGAGCCGCTCGTGAGTGTGCAAGCTGTGTCATTCGTTAAGCAGCGCTGTGTGCCAGGCACCGTGCCAAGCCCTTTCTGTACCTTCTGAGGGGGTATTACTATTCCCATTTTACAGACAGAGGAGCAGAGCTCAGAGCAGCTATCTGAATTACCCAGGGTCACACAGCTCACAAGTGGCAGAGCCAGGATCCGAACTCAGGTCAGTGTGACTCTACAGCCCTGATGTCCTCTCCCCTGCATCACCTGCCTGACAGGGGTCCTGGCTTCTTCCTAAACTGCCTTTTCCCTTGGTTTTCCTGCCGTGGTAGAGTGTGGGGGGGAGATATGGGTTATCCCCCCACCCCTCCCATCCCAGTCGTCGGCTCCCTTCCTCCTCCCAGGAGCTGCTTGGAGATGCTGCTCGTCCTGCTGTTCCTGCTGCTGTTCCTGCTGCTGCTGGTGTTGCTGCTGCTGCCACCACTGGCCGTGCTCCGGCAGCAGCAGCCCCAGGATGCCAGGCTGTCCTGGCTTGCCAGCCTCCAGTACCGTGTGGCATGGAGGGCCCTGTGCTGGGCAGCTGCCTGGCAGCAGCAGAGACTGGAGCAGAGCACACTGCACGTGGGCCAGAGCCAGCAGCAGGCCCTGAGGTGGTGTCTGCAGGGAGCCCAGGGTCCCCGCTGTCCCCTCAGGGGGAGCACAGGTGTGTTTCTCAGGGTCTGGGGAGGCGCCCCAAGGAAAAAGAAACCCCACAGGACAGTCAGATTCCAGCACCTGAAGACCTCCCTTCCCCCCTTCTACTGCCAACACAGAGGGGCCAGACCCAGAGACCTACCCAGACGCAGGATTGTTCAAGATGAATTTTCCCGTCCTGAGCCCTGATAGCCCCCTTCCCCCAGGCCTATTCTGTATTGCTTCCTCAGGGGTCTCACCAGTCTTGCCTGAAACTCTTGGGAAACTCTATGGCTTCACGAGGAGTTAATGATGTCTTTGGGGCTACAGATATGAGCACCTTCCGGAATGATCTCCCTCTGACCAAGGCCAGCCAGGTCCAGGAGGAAGAAAGTGGGGAGCAACTCCTGCCCCCTACCTCAAACCAGTACCACGGGGAGGCCTCTCTGCAGGTAAACTGAGAAGGCTGGAGGCCAGCCCCACCAGAGACCCCTACTTGCAGCCAAACCCTTCCATCAAGGTGGGCAAAGAACCCCCAAACTGGGGGCTCAGGGTCTGGCTCAGGCCCAGGGCCAACACCGTCTCTTGTCTCCCTCCAGGCTACCGTGCTGGGTCTGGCAGCCCTAAACAAGGCCTACCCACAAGTGCTGGCTCCAGGAGGCACGGCCCTTGTGACCCCTACCTCCCCCTGGCCCCGCCCCCTCCCCTGGCCTTGGCATGCCCTGGACCAGGTTAGCCGCCCTGGAGCCAAGGACCCTGGGGCCCTGCTGCTGGCGGCACTGAGGTCCCCAGGGCTGCGGGCACTGGAAGCAGGGACGGCAGTCGAACTCCTGGATGTCTTCGTGGGCCTGGAGGCCGATGGCGAAGAACTGGCTGAGGCAATAGCTGCCGGGAACCCAGGAGCGCCTCTCCCCAGACGGGCGGCTGAGCTGCGGGAGGCCCTGGAGCAGGGACCCCGAGGCCTGGCCCTTCGGCTCTGGCCAAAGCTGCAGGTGGTGGTGACTCTGGACGCAGGAGGCCAGGCCGAGGCTGTGGCTGCCCTGGGGGCCTTGTGGTGCCAAGGGCTAGCCTTCTTCTCACCTGCTTATGCTGCCTCTGGAGGTCAGCAGGACTCAAGGGTGGTGAGCTGGGTGCAGGCAGCAGAGGTCACAGCTAGCTGCCATGTAGTGAGCCCACATAATCATCTCATTCAATCCTCCCCAACACCCTGTATATCCTCCCCAGCACCAGCAGCTCCATTTTATAGATAAAGAAACTGAGGCTCATAGGGGTTAAGAGTTTTGCAAAAATTCACACAGCACCAGGTCTGCCACCTCCAGAACCACTGCCTCTTCCCAATTAGAGCCTTAGAGGCCGTGGCTGAGCCTGGGGGAGCCAGGAAGGATGGGGTGGAAGGGCCGCAGTAGGATCAGATGCTCAGAGGTTTGGGGCCTGGGGTCCAGGGGGAGGGGCTATTGTCTAGCAGAAAGCAATGGCACCACTGGATGAAGAGGCCACTTGCTCCGCACAGGGGTAGTGGGCCTGAACCTGTGGCCGGAGCAGCCCCGAGGACTCTACCTTCTGCTCCCTGGAGCTCCCTTTATCGAGCTGCTCCCAGTCAAGGAAGGAGCCCAGGAAGAGGTTGCCTCCACCGTCCTGCTGGCTGAGGCCCAGAAGGGCAAGGAGTATGAGCTGGTGCTGACTGACCACACCAGCCTTACCAGGTGATCACTGCCCCCCACCCCTGGCCATCTCAGACCCTCCCGGACCCTGTTGAGGGCCAGGAGCGTGAGCTACTGGGACCTCACCCTGACTCCCACCCTGTCAGGTGCCGCCTGGGTGATGTGGTACGGGTGGTTGGTGCCTACAATCAGTGTCCAGTCGTCAGGTTCATCTGCAGGTAGGTGACCCCCCGGTCACTGAGGGGCTGTCCTTGTATCCTGGGCTCCTCTGCCTTCCCCTTCCTCTTCTCCAGACTGGGCCAGGCCCTGAGTGTGCGAGGAGAAGACATTGGTGAGGACATGTTCTCTGAGGCCCTGGGCCGGGCGGTGGAGCAATGGCCAGGGGCCAAGCTGCTGGACCATGGCTGTGTGGAGAGCAGCATTCTGGGTAAGCTTCTCTATCGGCTCGTGCCTCCTGTTCTTGGGTAGGCTGCCCCCCAGTCCATACCCATCCTGCTGGGAGACCTCTAGGAAGGAGGTAAGACTCAGCCTCCTTTGCTGCTCCTAACAAAAGTCCTTCCCCGTGTCTAACTCCCATCCCTCCTGCTGCAGTCTCAACCCATTTCCTTTCCTGACCTGTTTCATATGTAGGATTAGGGTCTGGGTTCCATTTCCATTTACCCCACTCCTACCAAGAGACTCCTTGTTTCCCATGAACCTCAGAGTGGGGAAGAACGGGTAGGGCTGCGGGCATTGGCTTTGAAATCCACCCTGTTCACAACAGTGTGCGTGCACGGGGCTTTGTCTGCAGATTCCTCCAAGGGCTCCGCTCCTCACTATGAGGTGTTTGTGGCGCTAAGGGGACTGAGGAATCTGTCGGAGGAAAATCGAGACAAGGTAAATGGGACAGGGACAGGATGTGACTGCACATCCCCTGCACTCTGCATGCCCCCAGGTGCCTTGGGCACAGGGAGTGATGGGAGGACACAGCAGGGAGGAGAACCTCCCTGGGGCTCCAGGAAGGGCGGGATGAGTCCCACAGACACACACGTGTGCACACGAAACTCCTACCCACGCCTACCCTGGGCAGTCGTGCACACCTCACCCACACGCCACACAGCCACCACCAGCCTCACTCAGGCCCTCTGTTTCCAGCTTGACCACTGCCTCCAGGAAGCCTCGCCCCACTACAAGTCCCTGCGGTTCCGGGGCAGCGTGGGCCCTGCCAGAGTCCACCTGGTGGGGCAGGGGGCCTTCGGAGCCCTCCGGGCAGCCCTTGCTGCCTGCCCCTCCTCCCCCTTCCCTCCTGAGATGCCCCGGGTCCTCAGGCATGGACACTTGGCCCAGTTCCTGCAGAGGAGGGTAGTGTCCTGAGCCGAGGCCTGCCCACTGCCCCATCCACCCTCAGAGGCTGCCTCACTCTTTCCTCTGGGGCCTCTCTGGATGGGGAGCCCATGGCCAGGGTCTTTGACTCTGTGTCACCTGAGAGTTGCCCATCAGAGCTGCTGGGCCTCAGGGAGGTCTGACCTAGTCAGCCAGGCCTGAGGAGTTGACTTCAGGGGAATAGCAGACACCAGCACTGCCCTGCCCGGAGCCCCCTCAGCACCCCCCAGGATCCTGGAGTTCTAGTACCCGCTGACGGCTCCTGTGTCTCTCTGCCCAGTGCACTGGGCAGGCTAGAAGTGTTGGGAGTTAATGCTCCCAGGAGCGGCCCTCAGTCAGCAAGGAACCTCAGCTTCACTGACCCTCAGTGGGACAATTCTGAAGGGCATTCTGCACCGTCTCTCGGAGGATGCCCACCAGTTGCCCACAGCAGTAACCCTCTCATTAACACAGTTCTTACTGGCTTTCCTCCCCTCCCTCCTGTCCCCACTCCCCTATGTGCTTTCTAGGATCACCTCCCAAATAAACTTCTTGTGCCCAGATTCTCGGGGTCTGCTTTTGGGGAAACCGTAGTGGTCCCATTTGCTCTGCTCCTGTCACAGACTGCCCGCCCCCACCCCCTTCAGCTCTGGACACCAGGGCTTTTCCCCCACGCTCCATTCCAGGCCCTCGGAAACCCCTACCATGGCCTAGGTCAACCCAGAGACACAGAGCCCCCTCCTCCTACCTGTCCCCATCCCAAGCTTAACCTAAATGTGGAGAGGCTGCTCCCAACCTCCCTTGCCCTGGCCTAGCATGGGTCCCTTTCCTGGCCCAACACCCATGAATCATTTCCAATGGGCAGGGCTGTACTGTAGATCATAAAGCATCACAGCAGGAAGCAACCCCAGAGACCATCTGGGTTAACTGTCCATCTCACCAGCGGGGAAACTGAGGCTTTGAGAGGTTATGAGGCTTGCCCAAGGTCCTGCAGCTCCTCCTAAGTAACGTGGCACCTGTTCCCGATCAGTTGCTAAGTCTCCAATTCTGCCTCGGAATTACTTCTGGATTCCATGCCCCACAGCCAAGCTCCTGCCCCCACCCACCCAACCCCCACATCAGCCCACGACTCCTTCCTGCTAAAATCCTCCCACAGCTCCCCAGTGCCCATGGGATCAAGACTGATCAGCTTAGCCTATAAGATCCTCTGACCCACCCTGGCCCTCACTTACCTGTCCAGCCACCTCTCTTGCCTGAGGGAAGCTGTGACTATGAAAGACCACACCCTGCTAACCTGCATGAGCTCAGCACAGGTCTTTGCACAAGTTGTCCCTTCTGCGGAATGCCTTCTTCCACCTTACCTGATGGAAATCCACTTTTCATGCAAGGCCTTTTCAGAGTCCTTTCTCCCACTGAGCTATCGTTATGCCGGCTCATCTCCCCACCTGGACTTGAGAGCTCCTTGAAAATTGGGCCACGTCCTATGCACACTGTTGCTCCAACGCCCAGTGCGGGGCCTGGTGCAGAGCAGGTGCTGAATAGACAGTGCCCTGAATAAGAGATGGCACATGTCCTTCACCCCACGGTGGCTCACTCCCTGCTGATGGTGGGATGGGACTCCATTCCTTCCCTCCAGGCAGCCCGACCAGGAAGGAAGCTGGGAGGCTGGAGGATAACACCAAGTTTGACTGCTTTCCTCCCGCTGCCCAGGTTCAGTTTTCATGATTTTCCATCTTGGAGGTCGGTGGAAGGAGCAGAGGAAAGGAGAGAGCTGGGGGGAAGGGAGAGACAGCTAAGAAGCCTTTTCCATTAAGGAAGAAGGCTCTGGAGCCTGACAGACCCCAGCGGCAGTGACAAGGAGTAGCGGGGGAGAGGCCTGCTGCCTGGCTGTCCTCCCCCTCCAGACACACACCCTTTGGAGAGTGGGTGTCACGACTGCCTCCTCTCCTGCCCCTAATTAGCAGCTGCCCCCACACATTGTCCCAGGCCAGCGCCCCAGCCAAGGCCTCTTTTGTACTCCCAGATTCCTGGGTGCAAGGTGGCCTCATTAGTGCCCGGAGACCACCCCATCTCCAGGGAGCAGGCAGACAGACAAGGGGGGGACCAGGGGCACAGTGATCCAACTCCAGCTTCTGAGCGCCTTGGCGGCCATTCCTTGGGCCCAGCCTGGAGACGGCCCCCCTGTGGGAAGCTAATCTTAGACTTGCCTTTGTCTGGCCCCAGAGTAGACGCAAGTGTCCGTCTCTCCCCCGCCACCTCAGAGCACTATAAACCCCAGGCCCCTGGTAGCGGGTCACAGTTGACGGCCTCAAAGTTCCTGGGTATTGGGACCACTGCAGACAATACGTTTCTTGGCTCCCCACTCTGAGCTCCAGACACCATGAAGCCTCCTTCTACAAAGGTAAAGACCCAGGGATGGAGGGGTGACTCATCGTACCAGGGGGGCTGGAAGAAAGGCTGAAGGTGTCTCTGCTCTTGGTCTTTTCCTGTGTGGGCTCTGAGGAAGGGGACTGGGTGGACCTTTGGCTGAGAATCTGCCTTGGCTACCACTGCATTATGTCCAGTTCTCCTAAGAGCTCGCATTTTTTGAGAATTTACTAGTATCAGGTGCTGTGTTTGCACCTGTCATCTCATTTCATCCTTCCAGCAGCCTTGCACAGTAAGGATTATTTAATGCCCAGTTTACAGGCGAGGGAGTTGCGCCCCCTGAGAGGGTAGGCAACCGGTCTGAGGCCACAGAGTTGTTTCCCCTGCAAGGGAGCAGGCAGACAAGACAGCAACTCAGATCCTGCCAGTCCTTGATTCGCAGGTGTTCCCCCGCTGTGGGAAGGGGACTAAATAGGGCCTCTGTTTTCCCTGAGTGTACAAACTTCTGGTGCAGACAGACTCAGACACGCCTGTTTTCGGGTGTAGTGGTAAGCGCTCTAATGGGGTACAACGGTCTAAGGGTACCCACAGGAGAGAGGGGTTCATTCTGCCCAGGAGGTCTCAAAGGGCTTCCTGGAGGAGATGCTGTGCTGGGTCTTGAAGGATGAGCAGGTAAAGGAGACAGATACGAGCCCCTCTCCAACAGAGCCCTTCAGACAGCATTGCGCAGAGGGAGGAAAACTAGGGGACAGCGAGGAAGGAGCGCAGGCCAGGAGCGCGGAGCCAGCTGGGCGTAGGGGCTGGATGCGGATGTGGCGAGAAGACCCCCAGAGCCCTGTCTCCCGCCTCCCTAGGTCCCCTGGGCCACCGTAACGCTCCTGCTACTGCTGTTGCTGCCTCCCGCGCTGCTGTCATCCGGGGCGGCCGCGCAGCCCCTGCCCGACTGCTGCCGTCAGAAGACGTGCTCCTGCCGCCTCTACGAGCTGTTGCACGGCGCGGGCAATCACGCGGCCGGCATCCTCACGCTGGGCAAGCGGCGGCCGGGGCCCTCGGGCCTCCACGGCCGGCTGCAGCGCCTCCTGCAGGCCAGCGGCAACCACGCGGCCGGCATCTTAACCATGGGTCGCCGCGCAGGCGCAGAGCCAGCGCCGCGACCCTGCTCCGGGCACCGTTGTCCCGCTGCGGCCGCCTCGTCTGTCGCGCCTGGGGGACGGTCCGGGGTCTGAGCCCTTGCTTAGGCCCTGTCCTGCCCTCTCCTCTCTACCTGTCCGGTGTCAGCCCCCAGAAAAAGGGCAATAAAGACGAGTCTTCGTTAGTGTGGCTGGTCTCGGTTCCTGTGTGGTCGCGTCCCGCCCTCCAGGGGGCGTAAGAGTCTTGCGAACTATAAAGAAAGAGTCAGAGGGCTCGGAAGGGCATCTCAGCTTGGGCGTGATTGAACCCGAAACACTCTTGGATGGGGAGCACCCAGACGAGGAACCGTGCAAGGCCTTGGGGTGAGGAAAGAACCGCATATGTGCATGCTGGGAGGAAGGATGCGGCACAGACGCGTCTTCCGATACTCTACTAGTCGGTCTGTATCAGGGCCTTTACAGAGAGACACGGGAGGGGAGGGAGAGCAAGGGAAGAGCACAGAGGAGCGGAGTTCGGCTGGGAAAAGGTGGGAGCCGAGCCTGAGGATAAGGCAGGGAATATGAGGTTCAACATGAATCGTCCAGAGTGGCTGCAGCGTGGGAGCGGTGAGGCGCTGGAGGCGTGGCGGTTAGGTTCCTGCAGCCCAGATTGTGCAAGCCCTCACAAATCATCAGGCTTTGCACTTTATTCTATAGGTAACTGGGAGTCATGAGAAGCTCTTTTTTTTTTTTTTTTTTAACTTTTATTTATTTATTTATTTTGTGAGGAAGATCAGCCCTGAGCTAACATGGGTGCTAATCCTCCTCTTTTTGCTGAGGAAGACTGGCTCTGAGCTAACATCTATTGCCAATCCACCTCCTTTTTTTTCCCCCAAGGCCCCAGTAGATAGTTGTATGTCATAGTTGCACATCCTTCTAGTTGCCGTATGTGGTTCGCGGCCTCAGCATGGCCAGAGAAGCGGTGCGTAGGTCCACGCCCGGGATGCGAACCTGGGCTGCCCATAGCGGAGCGCGTGCACTTAACCGCTAAGCCACTGGGCTGGCCCCATGAGAAGCTCTTAAGCAGGGATGGACCAAGATTTTCCTGCAACTTTAGCTGAACACACCTGTCATGGGTTGAATTGTGCGACCCCTACCCCCAATTCATATGTTGAAATCCTAACCCCCAGTGCTTCAGAATGTGACCTTATTTGGAAATAGGGTCGTTGCAGATATAATTAGCTAAGATGAGGTTGTACTGGAGTAGGGTGGACATCTAATCCAGCATGACTAGTGTCCTTATAAAAACTGGGAATTTGGGCACAAAAACACACACAGGGAGAACCCATGTGAACATGAAGGCAGATGTGGGGAGATGCATCTACAAGCCAAGAAACGTCAAAGATTACCAGCAAACCACCAGAAGCTAGGAGAGGCATGGGACAGATTCTCCCTCACAGCCTTCAGGAGGAACCAACCCTGCCATCATCTTGATCTTAGACTTCCAGCCTCCAGAACTGAGACAATAAATTTCTGTTGTTAAAGCCACCCAGTTTGTGGTACTTTGTTACAGCAGCCTCAGAAAACTAATACAACACCCAAAAATAGAGATACAGAAAGATGTGGCACTTGAACACAATCTAACATCCCAGGTGATGCCCAGATCAGACTCTGGGAGTGAGGGTGAGGAGTACCGGCCTGCCCTCTCCCCAGCCCACCTTACTGGCTTTAGCTGTTTTGTTCCGGGAAGCAGCCACCCTAAGCCACCACACTCAGCTGCCCCAGTAATTTTCTGCTTCCGTAGTGAAAAAGTCCTGTGTCTGGCCTCACCTGGGTTCTTCTTGCTGCTGCACTGGTTCCATCTTGGAGAAGATGAAGATCAAAACCCACCGG